TGGCACATGATAGTTGAAGAGGGAGAGATGTAAATAAGAAAAAAAAATAACCTTGTCTAGTCATCAATGTGACAACTGCCTTTGAACTTTCATATTTATTCCCTGACAGCTGCAAGTAAACTCAGAGTGGTCTAACCAAGCATCAGAGTCTAGAATGAAAGACATATTCTGCTGTGCAATTAATCTTCAGAAAAGCTGGATACAAAGCTGGACACAGGTGGTTCACACCTATAATCCTAGGAGGCTGAGATCTGAGGAACTTGGCTCAAAGCCAACCTGGGCAAGTAAGTCCATGTGACTCTTTTTCTTTTTTTCAAATTAGTCACCAAAAAAGCTAGAACTTAAGCTGTGCCTCAAAACAGATAGTGCCTAGGCACTGAATTCAAGCCTCAGTACTGGCACCAAAAAGAAATGTTCAGTTCAACCAGAAGTGGTGCTGCGGCTCAAGTGGTAGAGCACTCACCTTGAGCTGAAAAGCTCAGGAACAGATCCTAGGCCCAAAGTTCAAGCCCCATGACCGACAAAAAAAAAAAAGTTGGATTTTTGAAGTTTGTATGCGTGTGTGCACATGTGTGCACCCGTGCATACATACACACACACACACACAGAGAGTCTTTTTATATCCACTCATCCCAGCCATGTATATAAATCAAAGAAAACTGCTTGGAATTAAAAAAAAAATCTGGAGTTCCTTTGTCCCTTATGCTTGAGCCAGTGAAGACTGAATGGATTCTTCTGATTCTTGCATTCCTCATATGACAAGCAAACCTTAAGGTTCCCTACAGGAGATAGTGCATCTTGTTTTCCTCAGGGCCTAGAGGGATGCTTTAAATAGCGCCAGCAAGCATCTGAATGAATTAGACAGCAAATGTAGGTTAGCTTTATTTAGACAGATAAAGACAAGCAGAGAAAGTTGTCTGGTTCAAGGGCAGTGCAGTCTGACAAGACATTTCTCAGAGGAGGGGAAATTGCTTCAGGAGAGAGTATACTGGGCAAAGAGCAAAGTTCTTTAGATCACTATGGGCAGAGATGCTAAGGTCTTTATTATAGAAGAGCAAGATTTAAGAATGGCCTGAGACTCATTGAAGGATAGTGTTTAGATTTGCAACGTAAAACAGAGCTCAGCATCTTCTTGTTCACACATCAGAAAAGCAGGGAAGTTTTGCAACAACTCTGGGGTGAGGTTTCAGATCCTTGACAAAATCCAACTCAGGAATTACTGTCTTTCCACAGGGACTGGTTCTCCATACCAAACTAAGAGGATGTACAGGTATCTGTAATACAGTGTATATATATATATATATATATGTGTGTGTGTGTGTGTGTGTGTGTGTGTGTGTGTG